TTAGTTAGAATGACATTTGAGTAAAATTCCCCAAGATAAATATGTTGCTTTTCAATGGTTAAAGGCAGAGTAGATATGCTACCATTTGTTCATTTTATGTCTTTTTCTTCTCACATAGCAACCTTTTTAATATAAGCCCACTGGTTTTCATTCATCTTTTAAAAATATATGAATGCACATCAAAAAGGATTTTCTAAATTCAATAAACATGCATAATAATGAAATTAAAAATTTTAAAACTCTTTAAACAAGATCATTCAGGTTTACAGGAGAGAAAATTAATACTTTCTCCCTGTAGTTTCAGATTGTTCAAGTCAACTTTTCTATAGTACAGAAACTGTGAGGAAGGTCTGGGGGAAAATAGAACAAATGAGAGGTTCCTTTTATATGAATAATTCTGCATAGTTTGGGTTACATGATAAACCATCAGAGAACAAGAAATCCGAAGAGTTTGTTAATTTTCCTGAACTCCAAAAGGGGACATAAAACCTTGATCTCAGAGGAGGCTGTATTTTATTGTCAACAGTGAGTTTTATTTAAAATATGATCACAAATTGTGGAGCTTTATTTCAAGCTTTACTTCCCTCTCTTCCTAATTTCTAAGTTATAGCTACAAGAGAGAAAGAAGCGATCATGCAGTACTTTGAGAATTTTTTTTTTTTTATCCAATATTTGAAAAACTTACATTGGAGCTCCATATGTTAGAACAAGGATTTCCACTTACATTTATTCAATTGTGTTATCTAACATCACATAAACTTACCTTTATTTATATATCGTAAATTAAAAATAAAAGAATTGGAACACTAAACATTGATCTAATGTGCTCTATGGAAGATATATATATGTGTGTATATATGGATATTTGGAAGGTATATACATATGTATAAGTATAAATATATTGGTGAGTGATTTAGAAGGAATGTTGCTTATTATAAATCTAGTTAGTATTATGAGATGCACCCACACCATCAATATTTATGAATGTAAGACAACCAACATTTAAATGGCTTTCTTTCTCTAGTTCATAGCCACTGCTGTGTTGGTAACAGCTGTGTGTATTTGTGAGGGAAGCAGTGTGCTGAATCAAATGATTAGCACGAGAGAGAGTGCTTATCTATTTTCAAGAAGCTACCTCTAGAAAAATCGTAGTTCAGGGTCAGCAAAGAATCTCTCTTTTGAGTGAGGTTTTTTTCTCTATCCTCTGTGCTTTTCTTCTCTCCCTGAAATTCCAAGCTATTTGAAAATGTTAGCATATTTCAGAAATTCAGAGTTGTTTGGATCTTTGAGAGCATCAAGTTGTGTTTCTGTCTTGATAGATTTAGTTTAAGAGGATTGCATCTAAAATTTGATTTGTTGAAAAGAACATTCGATTTATGTTATACATATTTTGTATTTTCCATTTGATACAGAAATAAGAAATGGAAACTTAAAAGCCATTCTAGGGCTGTTTTTCAGTTTGTCTCGCTACAAGCAGCAACAGCACCATCAACAACAGTACTATCAGTCCTTGGTGGAACTTCAGCAGCGAGTCACTCACACTCCTCCTCAGCCGGAAGCCAGTCAGGCCAAAACCCAACAAGATATGCAGTCCAGGTAAGGAAGGGAAGCAGGGAATCTGTTTAAATACAACTTGTTTTTAATAAATTATTGTTTAGGAGTTTGAAAAACATACATATGTAGTTGTATCAGTGTGATGGGATTGTTTGACTAGTGTTACAGAAGTTAAATCACTTTTCTTTTGGTTGGACAAGCAACATCTGTTGTCTTTTAGGTGAAATGTTTTGTTTTCTAATAACTGTTTTTCTGTATCAAAGTGTGAAATGTCTTTGGTGTAAGTAATGTGGCATGGCTACTTCCTTCTACAAATTTCTTCAGTATTTAGAATGTGCTATTAAGTCCTAGTCTCCTGTTACGTAGTTACCTTTCCTTGAAGCCTTTGATTAATTAAATTTGTAGAAAATTTCAGGTCTGTTAAACATAGAGCAAGAGGATTGGGAACACTGTTTGGTGTGAGATTGTGTGTGTGTATTTATATGCACATAGATGTATGTGTTTGTCTGGCTTGAGTCTTTGCCACATGTAGACACAGCTTGGGGGCGGGGCAGGGGGGGCGTGCTCCCAAATCATGGCAGCTTCCTTCCTTGTTTTATTACTACTACTTTTATCCAATTTGGAATTGTATCAGCCAGTGTTCAACCAGAAAAGTGGAGCCAGTAAGAGACACATAGTAAGAGATTTATTGTGAAGAATTGATTTACATCATTGTGGGGACTGCCTAGGCAAATTTGAAATCTGAAGGGCAGCCCAGGAAGAAGGGCAGGCTAAAACTCTTGTTAGGACATGAAACTGCTATATACTGGTAAAATTTCTTTTCTCAAGGAAGCCTCAGTTCTACTTTTAAAACCTTTGAACTGGTGGAATCAAGCTCACTCAGATTATCCGGGGTAATCTCCTTTACTGAAAGTCAATTGATTATGGACTTTAATCACATCCCCAAAATATCTTCACAGCAACACCTAGATTAGTATTCGATTGAATAACTGGAACTGTAGCCTAGCCTAGTTGACACACAAGAAATGATCATGAAATGAAGTTTCACTTGACAAGTGTCAAGCGAACTGCTACATTTGTTCTTGAACAGTGACTGGGATCTCAGTAGTTAGCTCTACTACCTAAATAGCTATGATTGTTTTTCTCAAGAAGGGAGGATGTGAAAAATACTCAACTTTAAAAATGTATATATACACGTATCAAACAAATGTAAATATTTAATTTTTTCCTTCTTAGGAACCAATCTTGAAACCTAATAATGCTCAGCGAACCTTGAGTTTGGTAATTAGACATGACTCAAAAATAAAAATAAAATTTCAAAATATATTCATGAACCATCTCACACTTACTGTAACTTGTTTAGCTGTTGGGGAAACACCTTCTCTTTCATCCATTAACCAGCCCTTATCTGAACCTTGTTTCTCACTTCATTTTAACCAATATTTCTTTTTCTATATAGCCATGTAAATTCTTTTCCTTTTGGCACATTTTTACTTATCAGTGAATTTTTAAATCAATAAAGAAAAAATCATAGTTTTCTCAAAAAAAGATAGCATATAATATAAAGTTTATGGAATGATGGGAGAGAACTTTCATGATTCAATAATACAGCTATTCTTCTGTCTTTAAGCTCATTTTGACTTTTAGTTGTGTCAAATGAAATTGTGCAGCAGTTAATGTGGAAAATAAATCTCTACAGGGTAAGTTTCTTGGATTTCCTTAAGCATAGAGAAGGAAAATATAGTAAACATCATGTTTTATTTATTTATTATTATTTTTATGAGTGTAGATGGTTGGTATAAAGAGACCTAGATTTTGAAAGTGCCAGAAATGTTTCATAGAGTCTGGTTTCAACAATTTGAACAGGCAAGAGGCAAGAACAGTAGCTGAAAATATAAAGGAAATAAAGTGATTTTGTATAAAGCATGTTGGCCTGGAAGTGATATGTAGTATTATTTGTCATTGCTTTACTATGCTTTATTTCTGTGTCTGCTACGTGGAATTTCTTGTACAGAATTTCTTGCCCAGAATTTCTTGGTAGTTATGACCCTTTGGGGAAAGTGTTTCTTTTCCTATTCTTCTTGCTGGATATATATGGCAGTTATGAAACTGTAGTGTATTTTAAAATATAAAGCCATATAAAATAGTCATGGATTTTATACTGTTTGGGGGAAAGATACATTATTTTTTTTTCATTACAAGGTTATGAAAATATTCTTTTCAACAATGTCCTTTAAGACTGAGGTAGACTCTGAAAATTTTTATTCTGATAAATTGGATTTAATTACTTTTTAAATTGATGTTTAATTTAATAAATGTTTTTAGAGTACTAGTTTTATGAAAAGCAGTACTCATGACCCTGGCATAGAGGAATTCAAAGTATTAGTTTCTACAGAATTTGTTATATTTGAAGAATAATATATTTCAGATATCAGTACTTATTTTCATTGTATAAATTGGTATATTGAATTAGTCTATGAATCAGAATTTATGTGGACTTACCTATAACAATCAATATTTTAAAGTATTTTTAAAAGCCTATAATAATAATACATATCAGAAAGTAATATAGTATATATGTATTAGGACCAAGATAATTAATGCAGAAAAAAATCTTAATGACACATTTATCTTCATTTGCTGGAGGTATGAGTCATAAATCATGATTTACGATGCCTTTCCATTAATTTCAAAATTTTTCAAGTAATTAGTTGAAATGACATCTTGCTATATATTTTATGGATTTTTAGCAAGAAAATATTCTTATATTTTTTCTGTAGACTCATAAAAATTTCTTAGGGCACATTATTTCATTTCAAAGAGACTGTTTCTATTTTGTTCTCTTATTTTAAAATAAATTGGCACAATTTTATATGTTTCCATGATATTTATTTTATACATTAAGAATTTTTAATTTGGTTTTGCTGTTTTGAAAATAACTCAAGATATTCTCAATCATTTTGAACATCTTTTATTTAAATAAAAATTTAGATTTAAAGGTTAATAAATAAAATATATGAGCAGAATAAAACAAGGAGGGATAAATATAGTGTGGGTAACAAACTGTCCTCTTCTGTTCTCTCAGCTCCCTTTCCACATTTGTGTGTGTGTTCATGGCTGTGTAGGTGTACATGCATACATGCTAGCATGAGTGCATGTGTGTGTGTGCACAAGTTTGCATATGTGTGTGTGTCCTGTTCAAGTGGTACCTAGATCTCTTATTATATAACAGTTCACCTCTGGACTCAGACTGCCAAAATTTAGTTCCTAATTCCACCACTTCCTAATTGTGTGAACTTGGACAGCTTACCTAACTTCCCCTGTGTTTCAGTTTTATCATTCTTTAAAAATAAAAAATGGCACTGGTTTCATGAGGTTATTTGGGGAATTAACTAGGTCAGTACCTGTAAAACACTGAACATACCTGGCACATGCCACTTCCCTGCTGAAAACCCTGCAAATGGTCTCAAGTAGCCCCAGCTTGCTCCCACCTTAGAAAGTATGCTCTAGCCAATTCCTCTGCCTGGAATGCTTTTCCCAGATAACCACTTGACTAAATCTCTCACCTTCAACCTAGCTGCTAAAATGTCACCTTCTCAGTGATACTCTATGGTTTTAGTACTATAGTCTGCCCATCTGCACTTTCCATTGTATTTGGCCATACTTTTCTCTTTTTTCCTTAGCCATAATCACCTTCTAACTTACAATCTATTTATTTATTACATTCATTGTTCATTATCATTATTTCTTCCACTCTAGAAAGTAAGCACTGTGAGGACAGTAACATATGAAGTATCCATTTTAATACGCTTTAGTACAGTATATTATAGTAAAGATGGGATTCAGATTCTTTATTTCTTAAATCCATTACAGGGAAATTTTTGGCTATATTTGTAGTGAATAAAGACTTGATTAATTAAGTCATTAATTCTCAAAAATTTGAAGATATTTAATATAAAAATTTGATTTTATCTATGTTGATAATCTTTGGATGAACTTCACATAGGTAAAGATTAGACATTTGCTTAATATTTCTAAATATTAAGCATCCTATTTTCATTTATTTAATACAAAAACTAACACTAGTTTCTTCTGTATTTCTGACTTTTGATTTTCAAAAGGGTAAAGTCCCTCTCTTCAATCAAGGAGGGACATGTGAGATATATTTTAATAAGAAGTTTTAAAAATCATATATAAGAGTTGGAATTACAGTTAACAACTATAGATTATCTATAGGGTTATGGAAAAATTCCATTTCTTATTTTAGAAAACAAGGTAAAATTGAATCCTATGATTTTCAAACTCAGAAAATTCACTT